GCGCGTCGCCGCGGATCCGTCCTCTCCTTTTGTCTGGATTGGAAGAGAGAAGGTCCAGTCTTTATTAAGGTGGGCGGGTCTCTTTTCCAAAATCGGCAGTAGGGCCGTACACTGAGCTGTGAAGGCATTCCCTCTAATCAGTAGTGTTTTTCTCATTACCATTCCGATTCTGACTGTTATCAACACTTTGGATCGGTACTCGCCTTTATCATAGTGCGACGATCCAGGAACTCATTATGATACATATTCTTTCATTCAAGTCGACGTCCTTTCAGTTACTGAGCAACAGTGGCTGTTTCCTTACAACAGGATGAAACAATAGAGAATGCGTGTGTCTACCTTTTAAGGGGCTTTAACTTGTAATTGCACTAAGCCGGAGGGAATGGTGTCCCTTTCATTTTAATCACTGCTCCAGACAGCACTGGCAAGATGCATCCATCCTTTGGTTAATGGCACATTTAAAACATGATTTTCCCCTCGGCCTATAAAACATTTCCATATAAAGTCATAAATTCACTATGATTTAGGTCGTCTATAGTACTTTCCTACGGCCTAATAAGCCTATGATTTACTTGGATTTATTAAAATATCAGGTTTATGAAGGGTACACTGAATTACTGGATTGGGAAAATTTAAGGCTTTGGTCTGTTTTTAATGTTGAATTAATGTTAGGTTTCCATTTGAGAAAACCACACATGACCTCATGCAAACCAACCAGTAGGTGGATCTGAAAAGCGAGCATTTAGTTTTCCTCTCCTATTTCTTACCACTTTTTTAAGACGCTTCTGTGCCAAATTGAATCGTTTTTTTACTGGTATTGACCGGCAGGTGGCGCCATTCATTTTTAATTTCATAGATAATTTGAATCAATCTTTTCTGAATGAGACGTTCAATTGCCAGTATTAATACATATTTTTTTAATTGATGATTTTTTTGACTGAAAATAAAACACCTTAGCCAACATCATACATACAAAGACCAATTTCCCCCCTAATATCATCTTACATTATTTTTTTATTTAAAAAAACACTTAAACATTTTTCATAATATGCAAGTGGCTTAAGAAAATCCTAGATATTAAACAGTTGATGCATGTATTAACTAAAGAAGCAACTTGATATTTTTACTGTTAAAAGAAAACAAAAATCTCTAGACACCATCACCAATGCAAACACATACGGTCACGCCCATCTGATTTTCATACACCATCAGTGCAGGTGTCAGGTGTTCCACAGGTGGAAAAACAGAGGAGCCTTACATAGGGGTGGCTGTGTTGCTTTGACACAGATTAATCCCAACAGTCTGACCTTTAGAATGTGCTCATTAAAAGCCAGTTTCTGTTATATTTTAACCCCAAAAGTCATCAAACATCTTGGCTCAGCAGTCTGTAAACATGGTGGGACACCAGCGCCATGTCACATATTGTCCTGGTTTTCTGCATCATCTTTGACTAAATCATTTGTTATAAAAATACAATGAAAACCGTTTAAAAAAAAGAAATGTGTTTATTAGTGTCATAGCACAATGATTACATAAACATAAAAACAATTTCCCATTGAACACATTTATCATAAAAAAAATATACATAAAGCCTCAATTTGGGATTATTCCAGTAAACTGATCGTGTTTATTCTGAAAAGATAGCATATGCTGATGAAAAATAATCTCTGCACAACTTTTATATATATATATATATCCATATCCATTTTGTACCAATTTGTCCTCCTCAGATGGATATTATAAAGGAAGGAACAGTATAACATGCATTGTGTAAGCTTAAAGTAATGAGGATTTCGAGGATCAAACATGCAATTAAGGGTTGTCATTATTTGGTCAGTATTTTTCGTAAACATTGACCTGAGGAATTCTCTGAACTCTGGTCGATTATTTAGTGCAGTGACTCAATATCAGAAAAGTGGTGAGGCACATTGACGGCGGGCAGAGAGGGTCAAACAAGTTTGTTGTCCCTCCTCTGTTGTACTTAAATATTGTACCAAAGCCATGTAGCCTGTTGATCTGCATGTGTTTCCTTTAACAACACTTGTGTTTGTACTTGGTAGATCAGGTAGCTTGTGGGGGCACCATGTTGCAGTCCTCCAAAGAGCTTCCACTGAAGAGTTTAAGAATTAAAAAGGCTCTACTGTAACAAACTGTATCTTACTCATGGCTCTTTGCATTTGGCACAAATGAAAAAAATCTATATCAATTAACAAAACTACCCCGAGCTCGTCCACCCCTCACTGGTGCTACCCATGTGATCTGTACAATACAAGTACTTGGTCGTAAGCACTTTGGTCAGCTGATCAATAACAGCATAGACTGACTTCAGCATGAAGTGTATGAAATATATGAAAAAGTAGAAAAGAAAATGTGAATGTGTAGTGGTTTCCTAAAGTGTGGTTCATCTTCCCTTTACCTTACAGTCCAATTTCTTTCTGACTGATCACAAGAATTTCAGCTAATTTAGTTAATTGATTGAATTCTCCAATTCCCTAGTTTTTCTCTTTTGATTACAATGCACAACTGGAAGGCCAGGATGCTCTTGCATTGAGACAATTTGAAATTTTGCAGACTTTAGCTTAAGAGAAAGGCCAATTATCAAAGTACAAGTTCAATTCTTTAGAGGAGTGCCAATTAATTGTGTTTAGAAGTGTCAAATAAGACCAACCAAGGTGGTCACTGGTGCTATTTGTGACAAGTGTAGTTTTTTTTCCTCCATTCATTGCCTCTTTATCATCAGAGAACTGTATTTTAAGTGATATCCCTATATGTAAGTAGACTCTCGAAAACAACACATGGAAAAGCACAAAACACTGTTTGTTTCAATTTCTCTGAGACAAGTAACTCTAAAAAGAGTCAAATGAACCACTGATTGAAATGCACAGCTTCTCATGACTAAATTCTGCTCATTTTCAAGGTGTGAGATGAGTCAAGAAAAGCATAACGACTGAAATACACTGCACAGCTCTTCCCACCGCGCAACTATCATGCATTATTAGTTCAGGATTTTCCTCTTGGACATGCTGTCAGCTGTGCAACCAATTCAGGAAAAAATATTGAAAACATGGATCATCTGCAGTATGAAAGTCAGCAGAGTGCCAAGAGAATAGTACGGTTAAGACACTTTGATTTAAAAAGGCATGGATCTAATTAATTACTTTTTTAAATAAATGTGTGTGAGAGACCGAGAGAGAAAAGGAGACAGAATCATTCTTAAATTCAGCGTCACAAACAATGTGAAGGCAGTATTTGGGCTCCCATGGCCGTCTGTGTAAAACTGCAGTTGAATGATTGGCTGATGGTCTCACTCTGAACAATGTGATTAACTATTGTTTCGGTGCAAGAGAACGATTGGCTGGAAAGTGGCTCACATTTTGTTGAAACACTCCTTAGCGTTGGACCACACCTGGATTCCCTGAGACAGAGAATAGAAGCGATTTTAAAACAAAGACAACAAAAACAAGACTTTTCTTTTTGTTGTCGTTTTTGAATAATGGAGCTGCTGAACAATCAATCACAAATTATCTGGCTTTTTATTTTTTTTAAGTAGGCAAGTATGCAAGAACAAACTCAAACTGGGAAGAAAGAGAAGACACAAGAACCCCATACCTTCTTACACATGCTGATCTGCATAATGGCGTAGCTGATTAGTGCTTCACGCAAATCTTTGTCCTTCTGCTCCTTAAAACGTTCAATGTCTTCCCAGGCTGTTCGCACAAACTCTCTGAAGACACAATCACAAACAAAAAACATGCTATTTTCAGTTTATGAGGAAGAGTAGGCGTGAAGGGGGAAGAACGTGCACTGTAGAGGAAGAAGAAACTGAACAAACAATGTGGTATTTGGCTCGCTCCTGGTTTATGTTTTTATGTATTGACTATGCTACTTCCTGCTTTTCTTTATTGATGCAGGTGGCTTTTCTTTTCAAAATGACTATAAATAATATTACTGACACCTTTTTAAATCGTACGCAGTGCCTGAATTTGACTGTGTAACTCCATCCACCACTTTTGGAAAAACTAATCAGGTATCTGTTGTCTTGTTATTGATAATCATTTCTCAACAGCAGCGACCACTTCAGTTCCAAAGTTGTGGTGGTGATACATATTCCATGGGTTAAAACTATAAATCAGTCATCATCCAAATTAAAGATTGATTTATTGGTGTTTTATAGCTTACTTGCACTCCGTGTTCTTCTCCATGACGGTTTCCTCTCCCTCCTGGATACTCTGATCCAAGGCTGCCAACCGGCTCTCCCTCTGCTCCTGACTCTCTTGGCCGAACAGTTTACTGGTCATCCCCTTCAGTGAAAAGACGCGCACCGTCTGCACACACACATTCACACAGACGCACACACATTCACACAGACGCACACACATTCACACAGACACACACACATTCACACAAACACACACAAATTAACTGATGTTTTCATCGAATTGGACCACTAAAATGTTTTTAAACACCTAATTCTGCTGATTAATTTATTGAGCTCGACAATTTCAACAACTAACTTGGCATAGCGAGAGTGTGTGTATAGCACTTGTGTATTTGCCCAGGATGTGTAGGAGAAAGTGAGATATAGTGAGATAACTAGTGTGTGAGTCCTAGTGTGTTACCCCAGTCGCCAGCTCTTCTTTCTGTTGCTTCTTATGGGCGAGGTCCTGAACTGCCATCTCCAACTCATACTGGATCAACTCATGTTTCCTGCATACTGACCTTAATTCACAAACACAGATGGACAATTGTTTTAAAATTGTATTTAAAAAATATAAAAAATTGTAATTCTAATACGTTTTTTTTGCACCCTGATAGTGTTATTACAACAAACAGACATTATGCTTCAACTACTGCTAATAATAAAGTAAGACATAACTGATTTCCATCCAGTCGAGGAGCCCAAACATAAGTGTTGGTTAACAACTACAGGTCTGCATTATGTGCTCTGCTCAAAGACGGTGGTTTAATAAGCAAATAAGCATTTGCATTGGTGCTGTTGCATGTCGTTTTGAATGAGGATAAAGACAAACATGAGAGAACAAGGGAGTGCAGCTTTGAAAAATTTAATGTCAACAATGACCAATGCCCTGAACCAGGAGGGGGAATATATACTATATGCATATGTAGGGCGGCATAAGAAAACAGTGAAAAATTCAAATTCCAAGATACAACGCGACACCATCAAATGTCTTGTTTTGTGTGAAAAGCAGCAACTGAAAAGCAGCAACTGAAAAGCAGCAACTGCCAAATGTTTGATATCTCTACTTGGAAATTAGTCAGCTAATCAAACACACTCCAGCAGGATTCATATATTTATACTGTATGATGCCTTAATGTCAATTCTATTGGCCTGTCAATCCTGATAGGACCATCAGCCAAATTCACTAATACTGCGTGACAGTTTCTTGTTAGGCCCGATAAAGGTATGTGCTTCCCCATTTTTAAAACACATAAAAACACTTACCTGACAGCGTCAGTGTAGAACAGGTATTCTTTCAGCTGGTCAGCATAGTGCTCCTCCTCCTCAAGAATGTCATCTATTGATGCAGCATACCTGTGCACATAAGTAGCATTCATAAGAAAAAAAAAAAAAAATGCCTCATGTGTGAGAATGTGTCTAAGTTAGTAGTTTAAAGACTGGTCCATTACTGCTTTAGTAAATACATTTAAGTATAAGCTAAACTCTGAGTATATGAGAGGGTATACTAGTTGGAGAGCATCTTTAATCTACTACTTACGTGTCCATGTGGTGGCCAGCACTCTGTAGTCCATCTCCCATCTCTTTTTCTATAGCGCTCCACTCACTGGAGACACAACAATCAAATGTGTCAATCAAACATGGTGCTTTGTGTGTCGCCATTTGCACATAAATGTATTCAAAAATGTCTGATCGTCAGTGTTTATTAGCTAAGCATCTCAAGCACACAATTTATCTTATTAAGAGAATGGTGAGGGAAGAATATAGTCTTTCCATGAATAAAGGAATTAGCCAATAGCTCCCTCTAATACTGAATGCATCAGTATGTATACTACATGTAAAATAAGTGTACCTCTATTTCCTTATGCCATAAAATGTAAGATTTTTGCGAGATTTACAATATGACACAGCTTACATGTTCTATAAGCAACTGTGTAGATCAAAGGTAGCTGGATAAACCAAATGACATTTAATTGCAACTTATTTTGTTTAAATCTAGGGCCCTCTTTTGGGGAAAAACAATTATTTTATTCATGTGAAAATGCAGTTACATGTTTTTATGTATGTTTCTCACCTAAAAACTCTGCCGTAGTTACCGTGGACCTTGTAAACGCCATACAGCCTGTCTGCTACTCTCTAGAATAAAGACAATGAAATCAGCCATGAACAGTTACATAATTTAAATAATACGTTGCTATATATAAATAAATAAAAAAGCCAGAAAAGTGAATCCAGACCAGTACTGGTTCATAAATAAATGTAGGAAGTGCTCGCACAAGCTGACTTTGCACTATTTGCCCAGGACAAAATGGCAGAGAGCAGAAGTAATTGATGAAGAAAGTCAAAAAGAATCTAGCCATTTTCTCAGGAGTTAGCAGACTGAATTTCAGTGAAATATGGACAACCACGTTATACAATGCAGTATGCAAAACATGTAAACCACTGGCCAGAACCTAGGCAGAAATTTAAATATAGGCGTGTGTGTGTGTGCCCGCACGTGCCAAAACTCACCGCCCGCACCCTGAGTAACTGAGAGATGACAGTGTTCAGTTCATCACTGTACTGTTTCAGTGCTGTGAATCGCCTGAAGAACACAAGAAATGGATTATAACTCCAACATTGTTTAAATTAATCGAAGCAATTGTATTTCAGTTTGTGTCTAATACTGATACCTCTTCACTACCTTTTGGTCACTGTGATCATCATGTTTAATCCAGTCCACTCGTACAAAACTCTTAAAGTAAAAGTAAACTTTATTTTGGGACAAAGCCACCTGTCTGTTATACACCTACTTGTCAGGGTTCTTGACTCTGAACATGGCACTCAGAGACTTTAGTCTGGAGTCCACCTGGTAGGGAACAGAATTACAAACACGTTAAGGGAGACTTATTTTGCATAGAGGAGAAGCTATGAAGAGGTAGACGTTAGTTAACAACTAAATTCTCAGTAAAGTGACTCAGCTGTCTCCTCTTGCTGAATTGCTTTTACTTGTCAATGTACTATGCAACTTGCAAAGTGTCAAGTACTAACTGCATACCTTGTCTTGGAAGCCTGTGTCCAAAACCTCTTCCCTCCATCCCTTCTCCTGAGGACAGATGACACATGACAGACAGGATTATGAAGTATACTCTATAACAATGGGGCTTTCCAGCATACAATTGCACTACAATAAGACACGCTGCTACAAATCCAGAAATTCAGTTGAAAAGGTGCATCAAATGGCAAGACTCTGCAAGAATGGAAATAATTATGATTGATGGTGTCATCGCAGAGGCCTCCCACCACAAACCGGTTCAGCCTCTATTTTTTGCCACTACAGCGTGATATGCCTTCTGAATGGTCTGCCTTATCTCCTTTCTTAATCTTTTTCTGTATCTTACCACAAGCGCAGCTAGTGCTATAATAGTGTTGTCAGTTTGAGATCCCTGTCAGACTGTGAATGTGTGAGGGTGTGCATGCCAGCATATGTACAGCAGGAGACTTCAATGGGACATTAAGTAGAACAAGTTCGAGCGCTAACCTCCGTCAGAAAGAGGAAGAAGATTTTGTCATTGGAAAGGACAGGATGTGATGCAACACGCAGCAAGAAGTTTTCCAGGCCGACTCTCCGTCGCTCAACAAAGTCTGGGTCGAGGTTATCGGCTGACAGCTTGTGCCACACAAACTCTGCCTACAAAAAAGGCACAATTCAAGCAGTAAAACAGATAAAAGTGACAAAAAGACAAGGGGAGTATATCTCCTACCAGGAAGAAACTGAGAGCAAACTAAGTCAGACTGATTAAACGTCATTAACCAACAACAGATGAGTGTGAAGTCATCAATCACAGGGTTTAGTTATACCAAACAAATTAATCACATGCAATTCATATTATTTTGTTCATTATATTTCTCCTTCCACGTATGTGTCACTCACCCTTTTCTCTGGTAGTGGAGGAACGATGATGTAAGGGTAGGTGACCAGGAGGTACATTCTGAGCAGCTCAAACTCGCTGTAGCGTCTCCACAAAGTGTCGGGCGTGGCAGGCGTACCCCCCTCTGGGACAGATTCAGCTGGCCTGCAGACAGACAAATTGGAATAAAGAGTATTTTTATTCATCACAGAAGTGTAAAGACACTGAAGCTACTGTTGTTCAACGTGGCACAAAATGAGTCACTTTGACTTTGCCAACTGCCTTTTCTGAGAATGGGAAGGAGGAAAATAATCTTGTCAGAGGCATTGTGACTATCTTTTTAAAAAGATTCAGCACCTATGGACACAACTCACAGTAACAGTAACAAGGTCTAACAAGGTAGTTAGGCAATCAGTGCCAGCTTTTCTCCTCCTTGATCTTGTTCCGCTTAACCGGATTAAATAAGCAACCTTAATAAGTGTACAAGTCTTTATTCTACCCACTGAGAAAGGTTTTGCGCTGTGAACCGTTACAGAACTTTAAATTATGGACAAACACTATAACATCAAAATTACAGCTGCAATTATCATATTTGGTCAAGGTATAACAATGTTGTCATGTCAAAAAGGATAATATCTAGCATTAAAATCCAATCAAATAAGATACACAGAGCTTCACGGTCCTGTTTCATCCTTTCAAGGAAGTATATGGCTTCATAAGGACACAGTGAAATAAAGTTGTGCACAAGAAAGCAAATGTATCCTTCTTGTCACTGCTGTTTTTCCTCGGCACCACCATATTAATGTTTGCATATGCTGTACATATAAATATATATATATATATATTTATACAACCTACCGGGTTTCTATGAGGTAGACAGTATAGGTTTCCTGCATGTTAACGGTGTTCTTCCCTGTTCTCTTCTCTGCCTCTGCCACATTTATCTCCATTTTTCTCAACAGAGCTGTCCCCCTCTCCACCATCTACACAGACAAAACATAAACACAATTATTGACAGGTAAAACACAAAAGCTATGAGACAAATATAAGATGGAGGTGCAGGGTAAGAGTGTGGTTCTTAGAGATTAAGGCAACAAGAGAGTCGATCTTCCACTCAAGTTGTATCATAGTAATCGATTCTATTGTAAACAGACAGACAAGCATGAAACCAGATGTACACAGAGGGACAGGCGGCTCATTTTACACTGAGGATACAGTAACACTGGGCTTCTTCACACAGGGTAATGACAGGAGTGTGCAGGTCACAAGACAAGATAGTAACATTATTACTGTACCACCAAAGAACTACTAAATAACTACTCGTTGCTTGTGTATACGGAAATGTACCCCATTCACACAAGAAACCACTGTAATTAAGGACACAACGAGGACTTGTGTTTTAAACCTGCGAAATAAAACTTTAGGCTTAGTGTTTAGACTTGCTAGCTAGCAAGCTAACGTCAGGAGAAAAGTTTACAAAGTAGCTTCAAAGCCCCTTTTAGCAAAATCAACTCGTTAGCTAACTTTGTAAATAGTTACATTTAGCTTTGAAGCCAGCTAGGTTAACATTTCCCCTCCCCAAACAAATGCTACAGCCTTTTTCTTTTTAAGAAGCTCCATGATATATTATGACACAAACCTCGCTAACATGAACTGTTCACTGATACATTAGGCCTGTTGGGGAAAGTTTTGTGCCATCAGCTTTTTAAACCCCAGAAATGTTTGTCATAGACAAAAACAAAGAGTACAACCGTGTTTATGATGTTGTTTTCGGATTCCGCTGAAGTGATATCGGTGTTACCGATCACAGCTACTTCTTCGGTACTTGCAGAGTCTGCCATCATCCTCTGGCCGCCGAGCTGCTCCGGTTGTCAGCTGAGCTGGCAGAGTGCTAGTTCCCTCTGCTTTGCGCATGCGCGTTCCAGTCTGAGGCCAGGGGTCTGTGACCAGTTTTAATTGTTTATACTAACTAAATTAATGGCGTTAAATGAGCAGTGTTCGTTAGATCGTAAAAGACTTGGCGAATTAAAATAAATAATAACGTATAAAATGAAAGAAAATAAAATGATGAAGTTTAAATGAGTAAAAATGACATACAATCAGAATCATCTGGGATCAGTCTAATGTTGTGATGTAATGTAAAAATGCAGTTAGAGGTGAAATAAACTGAGTGCAAGTAATAAGACCTTTAATTTGTACCGGAATGGCTCCAGTGGACAATTTTCTATTCAGCACAACTAAATCGAAAATCCCTTCTGTTAATGTGCAGGTATTACAAAATGCATAGTGGAAATGATGATGGTTCAAACTGGTGCACGTTTGAAGGCGTTCAGTTGATGGTTTCTGAAAGTTTCCATGCAGTTGTGCTGAACTAGTGAACCCATTACCCTCCTTTGGCATCATTTGCGTCCTCATTTGATGCTTTTCTTTGCCAATGCTGACATCTACTGGTGGGATTTTGTTTGGGGATTTGTTTATTTCCCTTTTATAATTGTGACCCTTGAATATTTGTGAAATTCCCATTACCAATTGATTTAGATGGCAGATCTCAAGTAAATATTTTACCCACTGAATGATAACCAAATAGTTAAGAGGAGGCAGTACTTGTGTTCATGAACCTAAACAGTGATACTAGATTAATACCTTAACATGCTGTGAGATTATACCATACATTTAAAAAAACAACACAAATTCAAATTTTATGACTGTTTATCATTGCTGTCATGTTGTTCGACAATGAAATTCTGACAGAAAGTGCCATAAGTGATGAATTTCCTCACTGTGGTGATATCATTTGGTCCCCCTCTCATTGGTTGTAGATGGTTGTGGGCCCAGATGTGAATGAGAGGGATGCGGTATGCCTCAGGCTAGTAAACAGCACAGAAACACGGCCTTTTAGTTCCTGTGGTCACGCTGTTGTGCAGCGTTTAATGTTTAAAGAGAAGGGTGGAGCAGCATTTAGTAAGGAAGCATTTTATATAGATGCCACTGGGCATGGAGTGGGGTGTTGGAGTGTTGTGGGATGCTGGGTGGATGAAAAAGAGAAAGAGAGAGAGGCGAAGGAATGCACACAAGGGGAGAAAAGGTATAAAGGTGAGATGGATTAACATAATGATTGATTGTAAAATGATCAATGACACAGAAGCTGCAGGTTTGGACGGATGGATGGAGTGATGGTGGGATGCGGTTTCAGGCTGCAGCGTGTCAGGAAACCCAAAGCCTGCGCTGTGACCAGCCGTAGTCACAGCAACAGCATAGTTACCATTCTTTCCTGCCACTGACCTCAAACCAGCCACCGCCACTTCCTGTCCGCACACACGGGCAAGCAAACACACACATATGCACACGCGCACACACCTCTAGCCCTTTTTGGCTGACTGTAATCGGCCATTTGACAACTTTTTAAAGCCCTCTGACAAACACTCTAAAACACTGAGCTACTATAATATAAATATAGTGTGTCTGTGTGTGTCTGTGTGTGTGTGTGTGTGTGTGTGTGTGTGTGTGTGTGTCTTCCTGCCTTTTCTATATTTGGAAGTTCTGACCTAAAGCTGCTGAGTGACTATAATTTAGATGAGTACATGAGTCATGGTCAGAATTTTTAGAGACAAACAGGTATAATACTGGTAATTGTTGTTGATAATAATGATCAAATGGATATTGGCAAAAGACTATTTTAAAAATAGAAAAAAAGTTGGTATAAGAAATGATTTACAAATATGAATGTGCTTGTTCAGTGTGTGTTTTCAGGCTTGTTGCCTAGAAAAAAAAATCCTCTTCAGTTCAGGTTTATTTGACTTTTATCAGTAATTCAAATGAATTGTTGAAGTTCGACTGTTGAGCAGCAGAGGGTAGCAAACATCCAGTAATGTTGAACAACCCATTGCGCATCAGATTAGAATCAGTATCAGTATGCACAGTGCTACCGGTGCTACGTGATGAGGTTGTGCACACTGTAATATGAGTATGAATTAATGTTTCTTTTACAGGAGACATTTCGACTTGTCGTAGCGGGAAAAGCAACGGTGAATAACAATAATGATAGATCAGTTCAATTCAAGTGTGCCAGTAAACTACAACGGTGACAATGAGCCAGCATGAAAGAAAAAATGGGACCCTGAAACTGAAGCAGGTACATGGAATTCAGCCATTATTAATTACTTTTCCTACTGTGACATCAAAATGACGCTATTGAAAAAGGCCTACGACTACTGCTAATTTGTTATTATATATTATTTAAATGCTGGACATCTATTGTAAAATTGGATAACTGTCAAACTATTTTACCATTAACAATATTTAACATTAGTATTAATGTGTAAAAGTACTGACGTAAACATTACTGTGTATAAATGTGGATAGTGTATATATAGCTATTCCACACATCCCATGGGTTCACTGTTCATATACTATTCCAGAGTGGTGGATATGTACAAGTATTGCAGTATTAGTGAGTATTATACAAATGACTATGCTGTATTTAGGGTCTGTATATGTGTGTGTGTTAGATTGTATGTGTCAAATTTACAATTTAATGTCTGAAAAAGAAAAAATTGCATCAAATGTTAATATTTATTTGGTCTTATTACTGCTGATTAGCACCTTTTGGTCTTTGCATGTCTCAGGAGCCAGTTTTCAGGGGCAAATATCAAAATTAGACAAGTACAATCGTGCCTTCTCCTTGTGACCAGTCAATCTGCCATGTAAAATTATTTGTTTTTAGATCAGATTTTTTTCGGATAATTTCTAAATAATGTCATCATTACTTTAGATACATTCAAATATGTGATTTGTATCAGATGTCTGGTTTATAGGAAGTTTTAGAAAGTTGCGCTTTGTATGCGTGTTTATGTGTGTATGTGTGTGCATGCTGCCTACAAGGCTGGTCACGAAGGTCATAAAGAGGAAGTCCTTGCGGTCAGTATAAAGGAACACATGTTTTGCTTCATGTCATAGTCTCCGTCCTTCATTTTCCTCTCCTTCATCCATCTATTCTTGCCTTTGACAGTGGTGGAAAACTCTTACAGTGTGTCCTGTTGGCCTGTATTTGTGTGGGTGAGCCGGTATGGTATATACATGTGTATGAAATGCCATAATGAAGTAAAGTCTTGTTGGTTCGGAATTATATTGTTTATTTTTACCTTCTTATGAGAATGTCCATTTTCCCATTGATGGTAAATACAGTGCAGTCATTCTTGCTGAGGTCGTCTGCACTCGGGATTACCTACAATTAAAGAAAACATTTGTATCTTTTTCATCTTCTTCATGATGCTGTTTAAATAAATTTTAACAGTTCATAACGTTGTTATTATGTAAGCGAATTTACACAAACTGACCTCTTTCTAACCTCCACCAACATTTAGATCAATGAACTCAAATTATATTTAAAATTATTATTTAATAGCTTTCCATATTTGTACCCTTATAGCAGCAAGTTTGTGATACGTAAATTAGAAGAAATCCACACAATGCTCATAGTTTCACATTCTAAACTGAGACATAAAAGGACAGATCATACATCTTTTTAATTATTACAAGCTTTACTTCTGTTTAAAAACTTGTAATACAACATTCAGCATTGCTTTAAAAATATCTTTCCTATCTCTTCTTTCCTAATTTCTACTACACATTTTTAAAAACTTCCCCCCGTTTTCTCTCTTCCATCCATCACCAGGGTGTTGACAAATTAAGACATGCAAGTCTCATTGAACGCTTCTCTGCATGAGTGATGCTGCTCTCCAACAAGCTTACACATGCACACTTGCATGTGTACGCATTTACTGTACTGTATATGGGCACTTAGTCTCTCTCACACACACACACACACACACACACACACATGCAAACACACATGCAGAGTGTGAGCAATGCAGTATAATAAGCAGCGTGGCAGCAATGTGGTCAGCTTTGCCCCATGTGCAATCGTTGAGAAGCCACATGAAGGCTTCTGGGTATTAAAGGACAAGCCTTGGTTGGCTGGGAGGGAATCTGTCATGCAACAAGAAAACTGTGTTTTTCACCCTTTTTTCCCTCTTTCATTTCTTCTCAATCCCTTTTTTTTTTACCCCTCTTCCCAAGTTCTGTCTTTCACCAAATTCTCTCTCTCGCTCTGCCCACTTTTTTTTTCCTCCTCCTTCATTTCTTTCATTCTGTGGCATATTAGACTCAGTTGTAATACTCTCCAGCTTAAAATGCTTAGACCACTGGAATGTTCCGTCAAAGAGGTGGGCGGACCTGGGGGGCGGGACAGACCAGCATAACCAATTAAGGAGGAGATTGAGGTAAGACAGACAGCTTCTAAATGGTGTAATAACAACCTACTAAAATGTAATTACAATGCAATAGCAATAGACACTTCTAATGACAGGATGTATATGCCAATGTGATTTCCTAATTATGGCCTTTGCATAATGGGTGACTGTTAACATGGCGTGGAGATTATAGAGAGGTGTCTGAATGCAGAAATTCAACCACAGGGACTTGTAACAGTGTTGAAGGGCATATTGGCCACTCAGAAGTCCTGCCAGGTATTGATCACAATAGGTAGGTTAGGATGTTTGAGAGGGAGTCTGAGAGTGAATGAGTTAGTTAGTGTGAGCTTGAGTGCATTTAATTAGGTAGCGTGTTATCTAGCTATCAAGCCACCTATCCATTTGTCTATTCATGTATCCATCCCAGTCAATGTTTTTAATTGTCTAACAAGAATATCTGGCTATTGATTCAGGTTTTTGCTTTTAGTTTGACCTATTCCTCTGTCGGTCCAATTTCCTTCTGCACAAAGCGCTCGTGTCCATCCACTGTCCATCTGTCTCTCAGTCTGTCTACATGTGATGCTGCCATCCATCTGTCCATCCATCCATCTATCCCTCCATCCATCCTTCCATCTCTAACAAGAGGAGTGGATGGTGGCGT